ATAGTAATAATAATAATAATAATGATAATAATAAATAAATAATGATAATAATAATAATACTAATAATAATGATAATAATAATAAATAATGATAATAATAATACTAATAATAATAATAATAATAAAGCAATAATGAATTTTAAATGTGTCAAATAACCCAACAATGTTGCTAACGCAGAAATGCGCTCAGCGCAACCAGATCTAAATCGGACGAAACAAAATTTATCGCAAAGAAAAAGAAATTAAGCAAAAAAACAGTATTATTGCTCACACAAAAATGTGATCATCGCAACCAGATCGAACTAACACAAATGTCACGCGTCATGCACACAAATGTGCAAACATCGTATCGATATAATTCGATCAAAAATTAATCTTATATATATATATAAACTCTAACAATTTAAAAATTATAAATATATAAACTCTAACAATTTAAAAATTATAAATATATAAACGTAACAGTAATAGATGAAGAAAAAGAAGTAACAGTAATAGATGAAGAAAAAGAAATAACGGTAAGAGATGAAGAAAAAGAAACAACAGTAATAGATGAAGGAAAAGAAATAACGGTAAACGATGAAGAAAAAGAAATAACGGTAAAAGATGAAGAAAAAGAAATAACGGTAAACGGCACTCACTCCTCTTAGGTTTTTTTCCTTCTCCCCTTTTTCAACAAGGCAACACATGTATATATAGGGAACAAATTAGGGTTAACACCAAATTGTCAATAATGTCCCTAAAGCCCATTTTAAAGCCCAAACTAAATAATTAGTTAAGAAAAAATATAATTTAAATAATTTAAAATAATTAAAATAAACTTAAAATAAAAACTAATAATCCTATTGATTCCTAAAATCAAAAATATTATAAAAAGAACAAAAATTTTCTCAATATTTTTTATTTTATGATTTTTTGGATATTTTTATGAATAATTTAGAAAAAGGTGAAAAAAATAATATTTTAAAAAATGATTTAATTAAAATAAGAAAATAATAATTAAATAATAATAAAAAACTATTTCTCTTATTTTTTAATGAAAGATAGAAAAATTTAGAGTAAAAATAATAAAAAACAAAAAGTGACAAAGGTGAGATTCAAACTCTCAACCTCTCACACTCACAACTCCTTACACATGTCCTCTTGCCAATTATGTCATTTTTACTTTTTAGAAAAAAAAATGCATGCCATATGATATTTACCTGCAAAAAGTCAAACGACTACACAAATTTGTTAGTAATTGATTAAATGCAATAAAAATGCAATGAAATGCGACGACAAATCTTAGGGCAAAATTTGGGGTATTACACTCGCTTTCTCTACGCTCGGATACTTGGAGTAATTTGTACAATGGTAAATTACAACACCCTTTGCTTATGTCTAAGAATCCTATTTATAGTAGTAAAGAATAATTCTAATAACTTCCAACATCACTTCCTCTTGCCACTTGTCACAATGCATGGATCTACTGCTCATAAGGTGCCACGTGTCTTCTTGAGTATTTGGCAAACAAAACCGTTCCCTTCAAAACTTTCAAATTTCAAACCTTTCGACGAACTATCCACAACAGCAAGCGGTCGAACTCCTAGCTTCTGAGTGTGTTCTTCGACTCCTTCTTTAGCTGCCATTCGACCAACTTTCGTTCTTAACTTGTTCTTGGAATTTTCATCTTGAATTCCTTTCTTTTGCATGAGGCGTCAAATTTAGGAGCTAACAAATTTCCCCCAAAAAATGTCTTTTCGACTTCTGATGTGGAAAAGCACATTTTTTTTGACAATGTCTGACTTTCGACACCACTTGTCCTCCTCATACGTGTCGTCTGATGTTCTTTCAACCAATACAAGTCTGGGAAGTTGAAAGAGAAGAAAGAGAAGCAAGAAAATAGAGAGGAACACACAAGCCACTGCTCCGCCACCTTGATGCATGTTCCTGACGTCACTTTTATCATGGCGATTTTCTCGGGAATCACCAAAATCGTGGGCCATCATCACCTTTTCAACCTAGGGGACGTGAATTGCAATTGCTATCTCTGTCACCCTACATCCAAGCACACACGTGGCCCACTATTTAGGGGACGTGAATTGCAACTGCTATCTCTGCTAACACACCCCTATTTATTTAATTAATACTATCTAATAATTAAATAAATACACAAAAATCATAATAAATCAAATAATTTTAATAAATTAAAAACTGGGGTGATACAATTCACATTAAGGTATTCAAAATATCTTGAAAAGAATTCATTGTTAATAACAATTGCATATTATGTATGTTCTGAATCATTAGGCTTAAACACAAAACACAAAAAACGGAGGCAGCAAAAAAAGAATTTTGAACCAACAACCAAGCTAAATATTTCACATTTGTCTTGTTTAAACTATAACATAGATACAACAACCATAGAAAATACTACAAATACTAACCAAAAACATACACTTAAGTAATAAGTTACGTACATTTCAGTGATATTATCATTTCTATGAACATTTCTAAATCTAACATTTCAATGCGTAACAACATTTTTATGAACATCTATAAAACTAAAGTCATTTCTATGAATATTTCAGTTAGACGATAAAGTTACGTACCTCAAATGTGGTGACAAAGCTTCAAGGAGTTTTGGAAAGTGATGATGTTCGAGTTGATGTTGGAAGAGTTGACGTTGAAAAAGAGATGATGTTCGAGTTGATGTTGAAAGAATTTTGATGAAAATCACCTAGGATTTTTGTGAAGAGAATAACAATGTAGTTAAAGTGTTTGTTGATAGGTAAATAAAAAGTTGGAGCCTAGTCCTCTGAAGTATTTATGAAATAGAACAAACATGTCGGGTTTTAGTCAAAACCGATGGAATATATTTATTAAAAAAAGAAAAGAAAATCCCCATAGCGCCATATTCTACGAATTCATCTAAAATAACTATCAGGTCGGTTTTTAGACAAAGTCGATGTAATAGATTAATTAATAAATAAAAATAATATAAAATAAAAAATAAAAAATACATTTAAAAATGTTGATGCAAAAGATATTACCCCTGGGTTGGCAAATATAACCGAAGGTAATACAAATTAAAAATAAATAAATAAGGGGAAAAGGAAAAAGGGAAAGGCATGTGACCCTAAACCAATTAAAATTAAAAATAAAATATGAAATGAGTAACTGGGATTCGAAGTGAGTTCCCTCGTAGTTATATTCCCTCGATTTTGACAATAACTGAAGGTATATGTTGTATTTTTTTTAAATGATGACGCTTCCAGATATATACCTCGATTATTTGTACGAACACACATTCATACAATCACATCCATACATCACAAGTTAACATTTAGAATTAGAACCAACTAAAATTCCTAAAACCAATAAAAACTCATACAATCATATTGATACAACACAAATTAACATTTATAATCACAACTAACACAAATCCCTAAAACTATGAGAAAACTCTAATATGAAAACTATACCCTAAAATGAATATTATACATTAAACCCAATAAAATAAAAATTAAATAAACCCTAAATTAGAAAGGAGCGAAAAATAAAAACCCATTAAACCCTAAATTAGAAAGAAGCAAAACATTAGACTTATCAGTAGACTTATTTTCCTCTTTGTGTTTTGCAAAATACTTGTCTTGTTTCGTTTCCTCTCGCTATTGTATTTGTTCATTTGTTTGCAGCTTTCTTCCTCCGTCCTCTTCGCAACAACACTCCTTATTCTTCCTTTGTTTCATTCGGAAAGAAAATATGAGAAATAAAAGTAGCCACTTATTAAATCTCATTGAGTATTCCATTTCACCAATATTTGTCCATCTTAACAAATATTGATCCACCTAAGCGACATCTGACCTCTTGCATTGACTTTGACTAACGCCTTTGATGTCAAGGACAAACGTGACTATGTTTGAATAATTAAGGGACGAAAATGAATGTTTTTTAAGTTAAGAGGCCATTTGAACCCTAGCTAAAAGATACCGAACAAAAAAAGATATTAAGCCTTAATATAATTACTAACGTCAAGTGAGCTGACAAATTTTAACTCTCAAAATCCAAAACATATCTCACCTAAACAATATTAAAAACAACCATTAATATGTGTTTATTTCATGAATTCACATTTTATTTTTAAAAATATGAGGTTGAGAATCTCATATTTACATTTTTTGTCAAGTAGCATGTTGGATGAAATTCACCCTTTAAAGGTGAATAAGTGGGATATCTTAGGTTTGAACTTGCTCATTTATATGATGTTCCTACACAACTATCATTGCCGTTGATTTAACAAGACTATATTTTCATATTTGTTTTAGGTTTTATCACTTTATATTTGTATGTTTTTTATTTATTTTTGAGAATATGATTTACTCATAAGTCAGTTACTCTTTATTCCAATGCAAAATGATGAATTACTCATAACCTTTCACACAAATCATTTTACTTTTTATATTTTATTTACAAATTTAAATTAAATATATTTTTATAAATATTCTAAAAAAAAATCAATTACTTACCAAATATATAAACTATATAATATTTTTGATATTAATGTTCTAAAAAATAATATTTTCTACTTTAAAAATTAATTTTTCTTCATATATGTTGTTAAGTAATACTGTAATAGGTTGACCTCAATAGATTAATTTATTTTATTTTATATTTTTTAAAAAGAAATTTATTTTTACTAGTCTATTCTAGTAATAAAAATAATAATTTATATATATAATTTAGTTTATTTCAAAGAACAACAGATTTTCAAATTAATAAAACAAATTAGGAAAATCATAATATTATATCTTATTTTTCTCAAAAAGATTTTATATCTTCTATTTAAATGGAATAACGGTTTTTTTTCAAAAAAAAATTCTTGTAATTAAAAAAAATAAAGCAAAATTCAAATTTCATATAATTTTTCTTCTATAAAAAGGAATAAACTGAATATCAAATTCACAACATAACAACAAAACTTTTGGCTTCCACATCCGAACCATAGCGAGAAAGAAAGCAATGGCGTCACTCATCACTCTCAGAACTGCCGACGACGTCGTTTTTGAAGTCGAACGTGCATTGGTGAAGAACATGAAAACATTGCAAGATATCGTCGATGCGGACGACGCTAAACTCAACGTCATTCCCCTTCCCAATGTTTCCGGCAACCACATGACGATGATCATCGAATACTACCGTCTCTCTGACGCCGGTAAAGTGAAGGAATTCTCCGTCGAGAAACTGGATAACGAAGAGTTGAAGGATTTTCTCCTTGCAGTGCATTATCTGAACATAGATTCGCTTTTCGAGTTCCTTACTCAGGCGGTGGCTAATCGGATCGAGAACAGGAGCGTTCGTTACGTGCGGGAGTATTTTGGTATCGAAAACGATTTCACGCCGGAGGAAGAGGCGGCTATCCGTGAAAAGAACGCCTGGAGTTTTAAAGGTGAGGGTATTGAACCTGAGGAGTGAAGCAAATTTGTGGAGTTTCAGTTTCTGTTTTAGAAATTAATAACTAAACCCTAAAAATATAGATTTCCAATTTAGGTTGTAGTTTGGGTGTGAATCTTTAATTTGATTATGAAATAGGTTTTCAATTTAGGTTTTCTTTTGGCGAAGTGTATATCAATTTGGGATTTTCTTTTATGGCTTCTCAATTTGGGATATGAATCTTTAATTTGATTATGAAAATATTTATCTTAATTTGCTCAATTTAATAGATTTTTATTTTATGCTGGTCTTGAGAATGTTGTATCTTGTTAAATCAAAATGCTTGAGTAAAAATTGAATGGGTTGTATTCTATTGCATTTGATAAAATCTAAAATGTTGAATAAATTTATGAGGGGAATTTGAATCTTTGCACAATCGTGGTGTTTCTTCCTCAAATATGAGGGAAGTTGAAGTATTGTGTTGTAAACAATTTTCTTCTATTGTTATAGATTGTTCCCAGCAAAATAGTTATTGAAGGTGAATTCTACGAAGTTGTTTAACCAATGTGCTGTGATCTATGTAATCTACATAACGTCGTGTGTATAACTCTCTGTCACTCAATTCAGTTGCCAACAATTTTTTGTTCATCATTAAAACTAAATTGTTTTAAAATGAACGAAACAGCAAGACCATGCCCAGAACAGCTATTGTTGTTTTTTCCTGCAAATTGTATGTAATTTCACACATTTGGTTCATCATCGCTCATTCACGGATTAGATATATGTAATTTCATTTTTACTCTCGCTACTGATTTTAGAACAACTGAGTTTTTAAGAACTCTTTTGCATTTACTAATTTCAAAGCATTTTTCAGACTGATTTTAGAACAACTGAGTTTTTAAGAACTCTTTTGCATTTGCTAATTTCAAAGCATTTTTTGGACTAAATTTCTCTCCGTGCTATTAGATAGATTAGTTTCCATGTCCTTAATTGGTTGGTTTGAATTTTTTACACGTCTCAATGCTATATTTAAATGCTATTAGACATATTTTAAAGTTACATGCCTCTGCTACTAGCATTGTATTCCATCGAAATAATATGATTTCTTGCTTCTGTATTTTCACAATGAAAAAACGCGTTGAGACGCAATAGCATTGTATTCCATCGAAATGATATGATAATATGATTTCTTGCTTCTGTATTTCCACAATGAAAAAACGCATTGAGACGCAACATTAGACATGCTAATTTCTTTTTAAAAAATGGTTGACAGGGTTTTAATTCTCCATGACCAACTTCAGAAAATTGCATTGAAATAAAAAACTTATGACGTCATGTTGTATTAGTTATCTGCATCGCATAATTTACAACATTGTTTTTGTCCGAATTACACCTACGAAATAATGGAACAGAACCTACATTAACAAACAATAAAGCTTTCACTTCGTAAACTTTGATTTCTTGATTTTGTTTTGGAGGGGGAAGAAAAAAGTATAGCAGCTAGATCGAACAAAAGATATAACCTATCTAGTAAACATGTATATAAACTATGATAAAGCTACTCTCTTCACAAAATGGCGTCATCAGTATAAAGAGACTGATGAACAAGTGCTCCCTTTACACCTCAAAAATGCCTTAACCCTCATAACTAATGATGAATAATCCTGAAAGCTCAGATTACATGAGGAATTTGCCAACAACTGCTGCAGAATGGAGGCTTTCAATGGCAAGTTAAAAAATGCATCTATCTACCTGTTTAAAGGTTCTAACTGGATTTCCAATCTTGCGGAGGCTTGCGACTCTTTATTTGTTGCATGTGTATTTGGTGGACTCAAGAGATCCGTGGAATCATCTTCCTCATTACCGAGCACCCAATTGCCTCTTCCAAATATCTGATCCCTGACTCTCTGCTTCTCGCGGTATTCGAAATAAGCAATACTCAATGCACCTACTAAGAACTAGATTATCATGGCCCAACTGAGGCCATGGACGTTTTCCAAGGCATATTTGTCCCCCAAATGCTTCATGCCAGTAAAAAGTGCTGCAATGCCAACAGCAATTGCAGATCTGCCAACAATTATATGCAAGTATTCCTAGATAATCCTTTTATATGATGCCTGCTCCCCATTTGATTGTCTTGGGGGCCTAAGGAATGCATTAACTGGTTGTATGCAAGCCAAAAATATTGCAGCAATTCCAAATTTAACATGTGTTGAGCTAACATGAAAATCGCGAAGCTCAGCAACCGCAAAAAGAAGTGCAAGAAAAACTATTGATAACCCTGAGTATTGCATGTAAACGTGAATTTTGTACCAACCACCGCCCTTCAAATGTTTCAAGTACCTGGCTGCCAATATACCTCCAGGAAGCAAAATGCCCCATGCAAGAAACATCATAAAACCGTGCACAGCCAAAACTGGAAGTAAATCCGGCTCTGCTTCTGCAAAACCACGCATGAGCTAAACTAATATAGGCCTGGTACTAGTCAGCGTATGCATATTCCTCTCACTAAGATGTCCATTACTCCATGTACTACCCATTGCCCATATGACTTTTAGCGGAGTTGTGGGATCAATGATGTCGTTACATTTTGGCCTTTTGCCCTTACTACAAGATGGAACCAAGGGACGAGTAAATTCCAAAGTAATAATTTCGTTTTCTGTTTTGCATCTCACATGTGTCAAATTCTCATTTGTAAAATGTATACCCGAGGCATCCTGTGCATCAATCCAATAAGTGTTAACACGATCAACACCATTGTCATCAACCCATCCCACATATGTGTAACTGTTTACCATTTTACTGCCAAGTCCTATAGCAAGATTGTCGCGGTGAAATTTGGATACCAAACTATTGATTAGTTTGAATCTTTAATTTATTTTGCAACCGAACTTTGATTTTTCCAAAGGAAGGGATAAAGATCGAAATTCCCACAATGCAATGCAAATGCAAGCTAGAGAGTTATAGGTTCGGGGGTTGGTTAAACTTAGGGAAGGTGCTAGCATCCTAAGTTTCTGTAGTACTTTACAGGAACCTCTTGTTCTATGTTGTTTATTGCTAAGTGTTATCTGCTTAATGGTTGAAAGACCTAGGGGTTTATTTCTAAGTATACTCGATAAGATATCACATCTTATGCCTATATATCCTTACGGGAGTGGAATCAGAGTATTTGTAGTTCCCCTAAAGGGTTTAAGGAGTTCTTTGACTGTGGTCAAAGTTCCTACGGGTTTAGGGTAGTTGTTTGATTGATTTTAGGAGAAAAGACGAGTTGTCATTTTAAGAGAGATTTAACCGCCACAAGTTATAGGAAAATAGTCTTTGCATCGTCTTAAAAGAAGGGCTCAAGTACTCGGATATTGATCGACGATGTACGCCTCTATCTCTCTTAAGGCAAAGTTCCTATGAATTGATTGTATTGATGTGGGGTGGAGATTCTATCTCGCTTAAGATGATTTGGCATCTTTCTCTAATGTGTTTGAATATCGTATGTGTCGTTTTGTTTTTGCCTATGTTGTAAAGACAAAGAACGGTCCTTCCTATGTGGTAGGATATGTCCTAAAGATCAACTTGAATGGGATCAAGGATCGAGTGGGAGTATGATGCAAATGATATGCACTACACACAAGCGTTGAATCATGTGTAGGTTTTTCCTTTGGATGGAATGCGATGCGAGAAAAGTAAATTTCCGTAATGTTAAATTGCGGAAGATAAATTGCGGGAAGGTAAAGCCATACACACGCATGAAAGCGCTAAGTGTGTGAAGGTGAATGTGTTGGTGCAGATACGGGAGCGGCGTAAGCGTGCACGATTGGATTAAAGTTGGGAGTTTGATTAGAGAGAGTTTGACCTTAAGAGGGAGGTTGAATTGATTTAGGTGAGATGATTTAGTGAAGTGTTGAATTAACTTTTTATTAGCGAGATTGATTTGAGAAAAGTTGATTTAATTTTAGGTGAATTTGATTTTAGGAATTTATTTGATTATATTAGAGGGTGAAATTAGATTAAGTGAATTAGGTGTATAAATCAATTAAGATTTGGATGAGAATGATTTTTAATTAGATGAGGGATTATTCAATAAAATAGATTGTAGTAATAAAAAAAACAAGTTAATTTTATGGAGTAGGTTCTTTTAAATAAAATGACCTCAATTATAATTAAAAAGGGTTGTTATTACTTAAAATTAATATAGATTTGTGAATAATACAAGTTATTAGAAAAAAGTTATTTATTAAATAGAGATGGTTTGTTATTATTAAATAGATTCTAAATATAAATTAATAGGTCTTTGTTGAACAAATTCTACATATTATTTAATAAAAGTTTTCTATTTGTAAGTTAATTAATTAAATAATCAAGTTGCTTAATCAGAAAAAGTTAATTAAATAAAAAAAGTTTTTTATTTTTTAAATAAGAGCCAATTAAAAAAGGGGTTAATTAAAGGTTAATTAATTAAATTAAGTTAATTGGTTAAAATAATTAACGGTAGATTAAAAGTCCTAAGGTGGATAATTAAAGGTCTAATTAGGGATAAAGGTTGATTAAAATACTGATGGTGATTAATTAGAAGGTTAAAATAATTAGGGCAATGGGTTTCGGTGTGGTGCAGGGAGTGAGGGCATATCGTGGGCGTTAGTTGTGGGTCGCTGGATGGGAGATCATTGGGTGTGTGTGTGCGGTGCATGGTAATACCATGGATGTGCATGCATACGATTACATAGTAAAAGAAAATTGCAGAAAAAAAACACAATCGGGAACCCTAATCCCAATTTCTTCCGTTTCCCCTTTCGTCTCTCTCTCCATCGCGATTCCTTCGTTCTCCTTCTCCCATCGTCAATTTCTTTTCCCCGTCTTCGATCTTTTCCTTTCTCCTCCTTCGATTCTCGATTCTAAACCTGAAAACAAACAAAACAAATTAGAGTGTCCACAGTATTCGATGAAAACAAAGATTACCGCGAGGTCTCAGCGACGACAAGCGAGTTTGACGCAGACGGAGGCTTGTCCCGGCGGTTTCCGGTGGCGGAGTGTGCGAAGGTTCAGACTGT